ATCCATTTACCGAGCAATTCCGGGACTTCGATCGGCTCGCGAATTCCTTGGAAGCGTTCCCGCGCCGTTACGAGTCCCCGGCCGCATTACGGGAGGGACGCGGAGGCAGGAAAACGAAAGTGGAAAGGTCGTAAACCACGCGGGAACTGCCTTCTTCCTACGGAAAGGGTTGCCAGGACCTCCCCCTCTGCTGCACGCCGTCTGGCACCGAGAATAAGTCTCCGGAGCTTAATAAAGAAGCTACGCGAGGGTTGTTCAACCCTCAGCTCCTGGCATCGCGGCAGATTTCTGTAGTCTCTTCTTCCTCCCACTTTTTTTCACCCCGTTTCCCTTTCTTCCCCCTTTTTTCCATCGGCTTCTCGCATCGGCTGCCGCTTCCTGCGGTATTTTCCTGGAAGGGTTGATCGATACTCCGGAAAGGGGCGACAGCCGGGCTTTTTGCTCCATTTTTTTAGCGCATCCTCGTGTTTTGGGTCGAATTAAGCGGAGCAGTGAGTTAAGTAGGAAATATTAAACTGCTCCTCGTATAATCGGAGGATTAGCCTTGGTACTTTTGGTGAATCAACCCTTTATACGATGTTCAGGGAGAGGGATTGATGAGTGTTTGAAAGTAGGTTTAATCGTGTTTATGGTTACATCATTGGATCGGTACTTTATTTTATATCGAATCTGTGGCATTAATATTTACTTCGAAGTATCTAAGGAATTGAATGAATCACTCCATAATCTGTGCAACGTTAACTTTTCTATAACATTAACACTAGAACTACCGGGGATTTAATACGACTAATATGTAATCCCTATAAAAATTGTAAGAATAGATTATTTTCAGTTTCTTCAAACATTCATTATAGTATTCAAGTGAAACTATTTATTTTCAAGATCATTTCGAATATTCAATGCTTCGAAGATATCAATAATTGCTAAGCAAAAAAATCGATACCAGTCATTTTGTACGGTAGTTCTAGTGTTAATCTTCCTGAAACATGAACGAGAAAAACATACTTCAAGTAGTCATAGTCCCCGCGTATTACGAATTAATTATCATTAGGCGACCACGAAATAGAAATACTCAGGGGGAACTTGAGTTCTCGGCGGAGGATATGACACAGTGTGAATAGTCGCTGTGATATCTCTCGGCAAGAACGCGTCCTCTCCGGCCATTCATTCCGTCACGGGCGTCGTGTACAGATTGCCGGGGTGAATCTTCATGAAAGTCATGAGGGGCGGGCTCGTCCACTCGACACGTTTCTCCGATTGGAAGCTGGAACCGGATCAGAGTGACGAACCTAATCAGCGACCATTGCTTCCCGCTCGTTCATTGAATGAACCGTAATCCCAGCGAGGCTGGGTTAGGTCTGGGTCAGCGTTCGTGTTCGCACGTTCCTCACGAGGATTCTAATCTTCACCAATGAAATTATTTTTGCGCCCGAATGCTTATGGGCGTGTAGCTTGTCCTGGAGTAATCTGAGATCTGGGCAGCCTTTCGAATCCGTCATCATCGATATTTTTTAATATTTAAATTATACATTGAACTCCAAAATATCAAAGGAAAAGAGATCTGTGCGTTGATCCTGTGCTATTTGATATAACAATTTCACGTTACTAAAATGACACTCTTCAAAGGGTTAATTAACCTTGCGATAGATGACTTAAGTCTTTAGGATTCTTTAAGAGAACCTAGACAAGTGAGTCTAAATTTATAGCACTAGAGATTCGAAGATAACTTTATAGAAATGATCAATGATCTTCCAACAGAAATTAATTCTAGAATTAAAAACAACACTAGAACCACCGAGCACTTAACTATCTTTCCAAAATTCCTTTGCAAAATCTGAAAGCGTGGATTTATCGAGACTTCAGTTAGTTCGTATTTCAGTTTAAGTATTACTAAATCAGGTCACTAATCCTTTCTCAAACAACTGTCTTAGTTTTAATAATTGCAAAGACATTAGGCACTGTCATTTTGACCTGGTAGTTCCAGCGTTAACTCTTTCTACAAGACTTACACTCTCAGTGCTTATCCTCTCCAACCAAGAAACTCCCAAAGAAACAAAAAGGGGATGAAACAATCTCCACCACTCCCATCCCCAGATAGCTCATGAATCCTAAACAGGTAGCTCAGTCCGTTATCCCGGAAACGCGAGCGATAATCCACGAAGATGATTTCCGGGGGTTGCGGGAGTGGCGCGGTGAAAAGGCTCGGCATCGAGAACGAAGAAAAAGGGGGACCTGTAGTTGGTCCACATATGGGGGACACCGTGTTCCCCCGGCGTAGCATCCGCGAACGACGGCACATGCACCGAAAGAGAGGAGCATCTGTTGCATCGTGCATCGACACC